GGTTTGCATGCCTGTCTGAGTGCTTGTCGGCTGAGTGTGTGTGTGACCCGCAAGGGTACTTGTTGGTTGAAAGGCCCCGCAGGGCCGGTACTTACCTGTGGCCGTGACTTTGAGGGTTGCAGCGGGGAAAACACTCGAGTAGCGGGGGTAGGCCCGCGACACTTAGAACGGAGGGGAAAAACACTCAAGTAGCAGGTAGGCCGGTACCACTCAAGTAGTGGTAGAAGTGTCGGGTACTGGAGGCCGAGCAGTAGTGGTAGAAGTGTCGGGTACTGGAGGCCGAGCAGAAGAAGACAAAAGTTGGCATTTTTAGAGGCCCAGTAGCGGTAGGCTAGAGGTAGGCCGGTACCAGTCCAAGTAGCCCGGGTCTAGGGCCTGTCCGGAAGATAGCAGAGCCTGCAATGATGTTTCCCTCCGAAAGGGAGGAGGTACCGGTTGCTGGGAGGCCGCTCGGCCTAGGAAGTCACCGCCCAAGAGGCAAGTAGGCCGCTATATCTTCGGGAGGAGCAAGTAGGTCCTCATTTGCGGTATGCAAGGATTGGCGACATGCTGCTGGAGCACAGCGCTGGACTGGTACAGCGCTGCCTGGAGGTAAAGGGCAGCTGGCGCTCAGCCTGGCTATGGCGAGCAGCCCAGCCTGAGGAGGAGGAAGAAGGGGGCGAAGGAGGGGAGTGGCGAGGCACCTACCTGACTATGGTGGACACCATCTTCATCACCTTGTGGGGCGCTGCATCTGGAAGGCCCCAGTTGGGGTAGTGCCGCACCAAGGAAGCTCGAGGCTGAGTCAGGCATGGCGGCTTTGTCAGCAGCGGCAAAGCTGCTTTGGGTTGTCCTTTGAACGGGAGTGCAGCGCCATAGCTACTTTGGGTAGTCCTTTGGACAGGAGGGCAGGGCCCTCAGTAGTCCGCCATAGCCTAGGCATGTGAGAGGAGGAAGGAGGGAAGCCATAGCTATGGTGGACTTGTTGTTGTTGTTGTTGTTGTTGTTGAGTCAGCAGTAAGAGGGACCTTCGGATATTGATTCTGGTTCATCCACTCATTGTTATTATTATTATTGGGAGAAGAATAAGATTGGCGAAGTGAAGGAGGAGGAGGAAGGTGGAGAGAGAAGGGGGGATTTGTCATTGGTCTTGCTGGTGTACTTCTTCTTCTTCTTCTTCTTCTTCTTCTTCTTTTTTCCCTCTTCTCTGGTCTCTATCTCTTTGCAAGTGCTTTCATTTCTTTCGCAATTGGGTGGGATTGTCTTTCATTGTGAATTTGCACTTTGGGAATGGTCAGGATCGTAACAATTGGTATCGGAGCGGACTTGCTTGCTGGCGAGAGGTGTTGGTCACCCTAAACATAATTCCGAATTAGGTCAGGGCTAACCTAATCTCAGATTAGGGTTGGGAAGTTAGGGTTAAGAGGGGCAGTGAGG